TGACTAACAAGCTCTGGGTGCTGGAGAGGCACCTGCTCTTACCTTGGTCAAGTATTCCTTCATGACCTGAATAAAGTATGGCATGGCAAAGTCCATAATGTTGTGCCTCCACGCTGTTTCCAAGACAACATCCGGCCTTAGGAGATCGTAGCAGGTGAAGAGACAAGCACCAAAGCATTCCCTCTTGTTCTCCTGCAAGAACCACTGCAGCAGCTCTTCTGCCAGCTCAGTATCTTTGGATTCGGAAGCGTACTGCATGGCATCCTGCAACGGGACAGAGCCTCAGCCTCGGGGGACACAACAATTCACAATGTGCTGTTAACCAGGCTCCCCTCAGAGCCAACAAGCCAAAGCTTTGCTAAAGCTGACCCAGTGTGCCTCACCTTGTAGAGCCTGTCCTTCTTACAGAGCTCCACGCTCTGTTTCCAGCGGTTGTTGCCTTTGAAGAGATAGGCAGCGATCCTTCGGAACTCTATTAGCTCGTGTTTCTCCAAACGTTGGGCAAGAGAAATGTTGTCAAAGTTGTCATAAGCATCTATAGAAGTCCTAAGAGCCTGAGTGAAGCAGAGGAAAAAAAGTCACACTCGGATGTACAACTACACCCACAAAATGCAAATATTTTCCATTAGTTCTGTATTCCTGCTTGTAGGAAGATAAAGTACCCCAGCCAGACCTGCAGAGATTTGCTATTTTATTTGAGAGGTTGTTGTTTGACACATATGAAGTTTAGAGTGTTTCAAAAAGTATTTTTCAGTAGGTTAAGAGTCTCTGAATACCAGGCAGCTGTTCTCTGAAAACAGCAGAACAGCCAGACATCACAACTGTTTGCCTCTTCTGTGAGTCCTTTTCTGAGCACACACTCTTTGTTTGCCTTAAATAAAAGCTGTCACACTCATAACAAAGTAGCCACTCCACCCCCGATAGGAATGACACAAAATGCTCTCAGAAAGCCACTAACACTTTTCCACTTAATCCTTGGCTCTTCACCACTGATTCAGTTTAAAGCTGCAGAACATACATTTAAGGAACTAAAGTTAATGGCAAGCAGGTAAAAACTTCTGAAAATCAGAAAGAAAACTGTGTTTCTACACATTAAACAAAGGCTGAGAATATGAGGTAAATCCAGAAATAAGTGCTTCAAGACAAGACATACCTGGTAATCTTCTTCAATAATGAAGAGGTTGTTGAGGGACTCATTGACTGATTTGTTGTTGTGATTTTGAACAGAGCGCAGGTAAGGCTTAACCAGGGGCAGCTGTTTAACCTTCAAGGAATCAGAGAGATACATTTAAGTCAATTTTTGTGCAAGTCTCTTAGCATCTTCCCTGGCAGGCAGGGGAGTAGCTAAGCATTTTGAAATGCTACTACAGCTCAATGCTTTCCCAGCTTTTGCTTTCATCTGGATAGCAGGAAAATTACCTTTGTGAAGAAGGTGACAGCACGAGTGTGGTCAAGCCGAGGGGACAACACCATCAGCAGATCATTGAGCAGCAGAGGCTTAAATTCCAAATAGAATTGAACTGCCTTGTAGTACAGCTCCACATTGGCCACCTAGAGAGGAGTAAAAATGCTTGTTCAGAGCAGGAGTTTGATTGTGGGGAAATCCAAATGAAAAACAGACATAACTTTCACAAGGAAAGCAATACCTTAGTGATGATATCTTTGAACTGGCCTTCTTTCCAAGCATCTGTTGGGTGATTCATCATTGTGATTATGGCATTATCATATTCTTCATACTTATCATACAGGAACACCAGTTCAGCCCAGAGATGGGCTTGTTCTGCAGCTCTCAAAACCTAAACAAAAGGCAGAATCAGCAATATTTCCATCAGTGCTCAGGCTTTAGTGCCATTAATAACCTCCGGAGCTGCTTGTGCAAAAGCTGGGTACAACAGCCCAAAAAAGTGTGTTTTCAGCTAAATTTAAAGCCTCAGACATTCACCTTGGGAATGTTGACTCTGGACCAGAACAGCTCCAAGTGCTCCCTCATCTTCTGTGGCTTGAACTTGGAGTAGAGAATTGCCAGCTCTGTGAACATCCCCATGTGTGCTCGCTCCAGCCCAAGCGCTGCTTCCAACATAGTGATCAGCTCTTCAAAGTACCCACGATCCTTAGAGACACAGACAGAGACATGTCACATCAGGAACCATCCCAAATCCCAGATTTTGACAGGGATGCCATAATAGAATTGACTGTACAACAGGAGTCAGCTTAATTACCTGGTAATAGTTGATTAGCTCTTCCAGCTCATCTGCATGCACTACAATATGGAGCCCACACATCTGAGCCAGGCGGAATTCTTTTCCATCCACGCAAGCAAAGCAGACCTGGAATTGAGAGTTGTGTTACTGCTTATAGCCAAGGCTCTGAGCAGGCCCCAGCTTTGAAGTCCTTGGCCTCAGAGGCAGTAAATTCACCTCTTTCCACGTGCGAGTGCTGTTGGCTTTCCGAGCACCATCCACGGCTGCCTGGTACTCGCCGAGGTGCACCAAGGTTGAGGCCAAACGGCCGAAGTTGGACACGTTGTTGTACAAGAGCTTGGCTGCTTCATACATCTTCTCATCATAGCAGCGATCACCAACCTGGGGCAGAGCACAGCCAGGTTATTCCTGCACGTTTTCAGCCACTGGCTTACGTTAAATGTGTGGCATTCAAGCCCCACATTGTCAAAGTGGATTTAAAGGCCAAGCATCACCCCTCTGTGAGGCAGCAAAACAAAGTCAGTCTCTCTCACCTGCTGGATATGTGCATTGTTGGGGCCATTGATGAACTCCTCTAGCTCTGCCAGGCGGTTTGTTTTAGCAAGAGCAAAGATTAATTCTGTTTCCACATACGACTCCCGGGCCTTCTTGCGTGCCATCTGCAGATACTTCACCAGCTCTTCCCAGTTTCCTATCGAAAGGAGTTCAGAATGTTTATTTCCCACCACTGGGGACACTTGTGGTTAACTTAAAACCATCAGCTGAACCTCATTTTGATGTATGACAATTTTGACAGCTATTCCCCAACAATAAACAACCTTCACACTGCTCATTATGCGTTAATCAAATCATCTTAGAATGGGCCTAACTAAAACCTTATTTAACTTCATACAAAGACTCTGAAAGAAGTCTCCAGTTAGCTAAAGGAGGAAATTACAGGCCACTGATTATCTGCAGATGGAATACACTACCTTTCCCCATTCTTATTTAGGGCAGTCCTTGAAGGGCCAGATTCCTCTACTTGCATCAAGATACAGGTCTGGCAGAACTGCAGTTTGAGCAGACCAGGCAAAAGAGCTGAGCAATATCAACAGCCAAGATGTAAATAAAACTTAATCATACCACTGGCATTAGCAGCTTGAACAACTTCCATGTATGAGGAAGGATCATCTGCCTTAATGTAGGAGTCAATTGCCTCCTTTACCATCCCCTTCTGGAGCTGTGCTTTGGCCAGCTGGCTCCACACTGCAGGTTCATTGCAGCGCTCGGCGAACTCGTACGCACGGTCCAGGTTCCCAATGTGCTCTATCAACACCTGGGAAAAGGATAACCATGGTCAGCCACTCTCAGAAAGGTCACCTTTACAACACACTAAGCTGGGGTTTATGTAAGTTCCTCAGTGCATCCACAGCTTTTAAAACAGGGACTAACTCCATACAACCCACACAGCGTGAGTGATTTCAGGCTTACAAAGTTTCAATAAACAACATTTGCTCTGTTTCGTAAGACAAGACACTGAGCAGCTTTGGGCACTTTGCTAATTGGTGTTAAGCACCAGCAAAATCCTTGTGTGGGGATGCACAGGGAGTTTTTACAGCCTGAGAATTGAAGATACCTGTACAGCTGATGTATTGACATCAAACTTCCTGAAGATAGCAAATGCCTCCTCAAAAAGCTCATTGCTGATAGCAATATTGGCTATGTCAGGGGCATCATAGTTATCCAGGCGATTGATGTACTCCATGACACGGGTGCGGTCAGCCTTGATAGCTGTAAGGATGAGAAGGTTCTGCAGATTCCTGAAGAGGGAAAGAAATATTCGCTTATCAAATAATGATCAAGAAATTCACCCTCTCCTCTGGAGAAAGTATTCGTTTATTTGCTGTTTCACATTACAGCAATAATACCAAGTTTCCTGTGGCTTAGTTTTCATTTCACACACCTGTGCTCACTGAACACTGAATTATCCAGCACGATTTTCTCCAGCAGTTCAATGAGCTCATTGGGAAGATCTGCAGTCATGAAGGCCTTCACAGTGACAGAGACTTCCTCGGGGTCCTGGGTCTCTGACAGCGCAGTCTGGACAACCTGCAGGCAGAGTCAAGGCATGGAGAAATGAGTGATGTCAGGTTCTGCAAATCCAGTTAGGACAGGCAAGGCTGTGAATGTCCTGCCAGCTGTACCTGGTCAATCAGGGGTCTTCTGTAGGGGTTGCTTTCCAGCAGCACACTGGCCCAGAGCTCGGGGTCCTTACGACGAACTAAGTAGCGGGAGAGACTCTTGAAGAGGGAGTTCTCATTGCACACCTGGAGAAAAGAACAGCTTGCTCAGAGGGAAGGCAGAGCTATGGAGCCTACAGATAATTGTACTGCAACTCTGAACTGAGGGGCAGACTAGGAATCTCTGCCGCTGATACTCCATTAAGCTCCCATTTTAGGACGGGCAGGAGAGTTTCCCGTTTTTCATCAAGCTGCAGAGGGAGGTTAAACAGCCACCTCCTGTTCTGTGTTAGAAGCATGCACTTCCCAGCTTAATATATTTTAGGAAATACATAAAGCTTTCTATGTACCCCAAGATACTGATGTTAGGAGCAATCAGGAGGCAGCAGCCTGGGCATACATACATTAATCAGCTCCAGATCGCACTGTCCACGCTCGTAAGCCACGCAGGCCAGGTGAGGGTCCCTCTTCTCACAGTACTTGCCAACAACACGACTGTCATAGTAGGGATTCTCACGCAGGAATCTCTCTGGGTTGTTGTTGCTGTCAATGTATATCTTGGCCAGTGCATTGTGAGTAGCAGGCTCCTCACAGCCCTCGTGAATTCTTGCTTCCAGCCAGGGCAGAAGCAGCTTCAGCCTAGAAGGAAGTGATTTTCACGTGAGAGGCTGAGTAAGTAAATATCTATGGAAGCCAGTCTTGGTGTAGGATAGAGCCAGGAACTAAACCAGAGTTTTACAGTGCTCTGTTTTAACCTACATTTTGATTCATTATTCTAAAGGTGTAACCTCCTGACACTATGAATAAAACACACCAAAGTTATCTGGAGAGATCCCCACATCAGCCAAGAATTAGAGCTGGTTCTCACCCAGTGGCAGCTTCTGCTTGTGTCAGTACCAGCTTTAGCTGTGTGACATGCACTGATGGATGAGCAGCAGACTGGGAATTGGTAAGAGACTTGTAGAAGTTTAATACCTGTTTCTTTTCTCAACCTCTGCAACGAGTTCATCAGTTGAAAATTGACCTCTCACTACAAGGATGAGGTTCTTGATCACATCTTCAGAGCAATCCACATCAAGCAGTCCCCCAATAACAACTGGCAGACGGCTTGGATTCACCTACACAGGAGCATTTAAAGAGGTCAGGATGCTGTCAGGGAGCAAGGGCAGGCTAGAACTCCACTTGTTAAGACTGACCCCCTCTTCCTGCCTTTACTCCCAGCCTCCTGAGGTTCTGAACAAGCTAAAAAGTCAATTCTTCAGTCAACATGTGTTACCATCCCAGCCCAGTGGCTCACTTAGCTTCCATAGGAAGAGCTCCTGAGCAATCCACTTTGTCCTTGCAGGAAGTTAAGAGGAAAACTTCCCCTCCTCCCCCCTCCAAAATATTGAGACTTAAATCACCCCAACAACTCTGAAGTTATTCTACCAATTCTTCCTCCTTCAAGTGCACATCAGTGGGAGTTACTGCTTAACTTGACTGAAGAATGAGATCTGACTCACATCAGGGCTAATTTACTGGAGGCCACTAATAATCACTTAAATGTCAGTCTCAGGTACAAAGCTGTTTGCAGAACACTTAAACGTGATGCCTGTAGTTGAATATGATACTGTAAAAACTGATCAATTTGACTCACTGAAGCCAAGGGACAAGTGGTCACCTACCTTCTGTACATAAATCTCAATATATTTTTGGAGATTATTTCTATACAAATACAGCACCAAGTCGTGGACAAAGTCAAAGCGGTCGCACACAATGATGAGAGGCAGCTGGTCAGTAAGTTTAGCTTCCTAGAAAGAGAAGAGCTTTAGTAATTTGGTTTTGCTCTTGGACTTAAGCAGACAAATAATACAGTCACTTAAACTGTCAAAGCAGCTGAATTTGGAAAGCCAAAACTCAACAGTCAACCAAATAATGACAGCTTGTTGTTCAGCTAATTGTTTGCAATATGTAAAGTGGGAGCACTCACACCCACTGCAGGGCATGAGGAGCAAGAAGCTTTTTGGAGTTTAACCCTGCTCCTTTGCATGGCAGACTCTACAGTTTTACAACACAATACAACTATTACAAGCCTAGGCTATAGAGAATATTTTTAGTTGCCACTGGTGTTTGGTGTGCAGGATTAGCACTCTGGGATTTCAAAAGAAATTTAACCAAGACTAGATTACGTTGTGGTTCACAATGTAAAACTTATATACAGAATTAACTTTGAGTGCCATGTGTCATGTGATACCTCCTAACTATGGATTTAGAGAACAGTAAGAATTAAGCTCTATAGCAGTACTACTTAAACTGCTTACCAGATTAATTATCTAAAAGCATTCCAACTTTCAGCATAAGGTTACAATGGCTGCAGTACAGAAGCTTAGTCTATGTGGCAGACAGTATTCCGGATGCATATTTCAGATCACTTATTCCAACATGCACATCCCAGAATATAATCCTACATATAAATTACACTTAAGGACTTTACACAGGGAGGCCTGTACTGGGAGATTTACCTGGTACATGTCCTGCACATTCCAGACATGGAACAGCACAAAAAACAATAACTTTCATCAGGAATTTGACAGCTTGATAACATATCTTAGGTGGCTTGATCAAATTACATACCTTACACCTCGGTGACACCAGGTTAGTTTTAGAGAATTCTCTTGGGGAAGAGTTTTGCCATCTTCAGATATGATCAGCAAAATCTAAGACTATGCTATGTAACCAACAAACATGAAGGCAGGAAATGTTCCCAGATAAAGTTTTCCCCTCCCACACGGTTCCTCAGGTATTTCTCAGCGTGTTGTGTTTGTTAATAAACTCTGTACTAAGACTACAGCATCTGAACTTGGAGCACACCATCTTTTCCTACTTTCCAGCAATGCTCTGGATCAGTCAGGATATATTCCCACTGACTGGCATCTCCCAGCAGAGCTAAGCCATGGCTCACCTGGCTGAAATTTCAGTGTGTAGGAGTAAGACAGATCAGCCCTGAAAGCATTTATGGAATTAATTGACTCTTTTCCTCTGTTGTTTCTGTAGTTGCTCAGTTGGAGTTGATTACACTATAAATAAGCATTAAGTTATCAACTCATTTGGCACTATGGGTGTTTTCAAGTTAAGCAAACTGTTTCCTATTTTATAGCAGACATTTTTAACAAGTTCTAGGTAAGCTGGTACATTTACTACAGGTTAAGAGTTCAAGTCAGATTAACCTTAGCAAGAACAGTGAGGAACTGACCTGACATTCTCATTTTTTAGACAATATTCCAGGCTCAGACCTCATTAGGAGGTACTGTCAACATGGCAGATACCTCTGGTTTGAGGACACTTGGATCCTTAAGTGCAAAGGTTAAAACTCATCTATTTTCAGAGCTGCCTCATTTCACTAGTGAAACACCACGTTTTATCAGAACCCCAAACAGCCCCAGACAGTCCAGTGTTACCCAAACATTACCTTGAGGAAGTTTTTAACACGTTCTGGATCATAGCAGTTACTTTCCCTGCAGATTCTTTCCACTTCTTTAATTTGTCCTGTCTTGCATGCAGCTTGAATGTACTTGAAGTGCACATCTGGATCCTGGCTGAAGTTTACAATGGAACCCAGGAAATAAAACAAACCTGGAGAGAAAGAGTCAACAGATTACTTGCTGGTCTCACTTGAAAGTACAAATCCCAAAGGCTACAGAAATTTAAGACACCCATTTTGAACAAAAGCAAAAGGCCAGCATTCTAGGTTTTTCTACAGCTCCAAACATTTTCCAGGATTTCAGGAAAACGAATTATGCAACTGAATACTGCTATCCATCCTAAACAGGTAAACTTTAAGGTTTAGATCTGTTTCAAGACAGTTTGAGCCTAACTACTTAAGCCCATTATGGCTTTCTAGATTTCAGCAGACAGACAGTCCTCCACACACACATCTGCAACAAGGTGAGCACCAGCTCCTCTTGCAGAAGTACAGACTTACCTTCAAAGCTCTTGAAGGACTCGAAGAGCTCAATGAGTGACTGTGTTGACAGCTGCTCGTGGTATTTGGAAGCTACCTGGACACAGATCTGCAGGTTCTGACGGATGTTAGCGGACAGCATCGCACGCAGACACTCCAGAGAGTCTTCTACTGATAAGGACCCAAAATAATTCACTAACCACTGCAAAGACACACACAAGGCATTTCAGACCTGAGCAGAAGAGCAGTTATTAAAGGCTGGATTTGTAGGTGCAGGGTGTTTGATGCCCTACCTCAGGGTTGAGGAGGTGAGTGTGAACTACCGCACGCTTGATGTCGTACAGGTCTGTGAAGTGCTCCAGTGCTCTCTGCAGCAAACCAGCCTTCTCACACAGCTGAGCTATGTGAGCCCTGTCATAGTGAGTAAACATTTGGTTTCCCAGGATGGCATCTGCAACCTAGAAGGAACAGGGAATACTTTCACTCAGTTCCTGAGCACTGCCACCAGTGTTTGCCATGTCCAGCTCCAGGAAGCCTGAGCACGTACCTGGGGCGCGTGCATGAGGTTCATCTCAAGTAAACGTGTTTGCAGGGGACCTTCTGAGGGACGATTATTCTTCAGTGCATCCAGCAGGAAGGCTGTACATTGCTGGATTAAATTATATTCCATAAAGACATCCACAATCTACAAATGAAAAAAAAAGAAAGAAACACAGGTTTTTGATTAGGAGCTGGAAGTATATTTAAGCATCAGTGCAGCTTCCAAAGCTACATCCAAACTCATTGGTAAGAGGAGCCCTACTCAAACCACCAGATCAGTTTAATGCTTTGAAGTCAACATCTCACAGCAATAAAGTTATTTACCTGTGTTATATCTGCAAGAGGCTCTTCATCTTGAACAAGCATTTGTGCAAACTGCTGTCCTTGATCGGGGCTGATTCTCATTACATTCCTCAGCAAAAAAATCCAGTCTGGAGTATATCCAACCTGAGAAGATTATCAAAAGTGAGAACTCAGCAAAAGCACACACCTTGTTAAATATAGAGCTCAGTAAAGCTACTGTCAGAAGATTACACAACTCAGCCAAGATTTCCTCTTTTGGAAAAGGCTACATGGGGAAGTAGGGAAAGACCCATGTAGGAAGTCTAGCAGTAACTATTAATAAAAAACTTGACACAAAACTGTAAATAAAATAAATACTATACTGGCTCACAGATTCCCCTACAGTTACTTCTAGTTACTTTGGAACATGCACTAGTTATTATTAAATACTGGATAGATACAGGAATTTAATTTTCTCTCACCTTCTTAGCATACAAAACAATCTTCTGGACTTGTCCTGTTTCAGCAAAACACTGGATGACCTTATTTGGAACGTTGGCTCTCAGATAGACACTAAGTGCTAGTGTAGGATCCACAGATTTCACAAGGTCTCCCAGCTCCTCTGAGCACTCCAGCTGTTCAGAAACAGAAATGCAGTCAGCCCACCCTGACAGTGCCATGCTGAGATGCACTACCATCCTCTTCCTCATTTATCTTCTTTCTTTTGGACTTCTCTTTAAAAAATTAAGGCCCAGCCTGACAGCCTGAGTTGACTCTCCCAGCAGTGATCTAGTGGGCTCAGCTCCTCATGTTCTACAGCAGTCACACAGATTTTCAGAGCTAGAAACAACTGGGTGACACATTGTATCAGCATGTTTCTCCAATTAATTACACAGAAGCACATTTATCCAATTAATTACACAGAAGTAACCACAGGTCGAAGCACTTGCAGTTAGTATCCAAAGGAGCGGTTTGGCAAAGCCCAGCAGCAGCTCAGAGCTTCCCATGCTCTGCACATCCCGCTGTGATTTTAAATGTAGAATGAGTGAGAACTTGATCAATTCTCATGCAGTAATTTGAGTCATAGTGACAGATAGAGTGAGCACCTATTGCTCAGCTATTTACTGTCACTGCTGAGCCCCCAGCTGAGTTTTCCTGGGAGGGAGGAAAGCTGCCAGGCAGTGCTGTTCCTTCCCCCCCCACAGCTCTGAAGGCACCAACCCCAAACTTACTTTATCTTCTTTTA